TCCGTTCCTCCCTCCCTCTCTTTCACTCTGGAACTCAGGGCCTTGGGTACATCAAACACACACTTCCAGCCACTTCGCTACATGCCTGGCCCCTTGATCTTCTTCCTCACACCACACTTCCTCGTGGCTGTGTGCACAACCGCACACCAGAGCTGTAGCTTTCTGCCACAGACCCCAAGGATGCCCTAGCTTCTTTCTTGGGTGGTGACTAAGAACTCAGGACTCCTTAGCCCATGGCTGTATTTAGATTGCATTTTTATGTCTGGGACATTGGTCTGGCCTCACAAGGTGCATCCTCCCCTCCCGTTATCTGGCAGCTTTTGCGTTCCTGAGTCCTTTCTCTTGGCCACTTCACTTAAAGGAAAAGCCCACCGCCACTATAGCCCCATGGCTTTGGGATTTCTCTGCTCAGGAGTTCATTTTGATAACATGCCAAAAGAATCTAAATTGGATCAATTCAAATGCCAGACTTTGTCATTTGATACAAAGTTTATGCACCTTAACTCAGTCAGTGGTTCATTTTTTCTTACCCTTTACTTCTTATCTCTGTTCAATTTTCTAAACACATTTAAACAAACTTCTCCCCATTCCTTACCTAATAAAACCTCCAATACTATTTAGTGAATCAGTTTTTAAAATGCCATTAGTTATGGAATGAAATATTACTCACATATGTTATTCCATTAATTTCGCCTTTTTCCTTGAGAAAATATCAAGCTTATGTATCACAGTGGCCACCATGGTGGATTGTGTCATAGGGCTCAGTGGCCTACCTTAAAGTGTGGATTCCCTAGAATTATGACCATAGGCTGGTGGTCTTTAGTTCCCAGGGTTTCCAGCAATGATCTTCTGGTAGAAAGTCAAACAACGGTCATGGACACGGGGAACCACTGGTACTGACGGTTCTTCACTTTGACCCCTGCGCCCCATCAGAGCTCCACCAGTGTGCTGAATTCTCTGTCTCTGGCTGCTTAGCATGTTTGTAAGATCTTAGACCTGTGACTTTCAACCTGGCTGCATAGGGGAGCCCCTGGAGAGCTTTTACAGATTACAAATATGCCTCACATAGACCCGAGGCCAAATGCTGAGGTAGTGCATGTGCCCGTGGGCAACTCCGAAGCACGGACGCTGGGTGTCCTGTGAGTTTACAAACTCTTGGTCTTGCACCTTAGGTTTGCACCTGGTAACAACCACATGTCGGTAGAACTATTTCTAAATCATGGTCAAGGCAAATCATTGATTCCATTTTTGCCATTTGTTTTGTTCTGTTAGCTTTTGATGCATCATGACTGGCAAGCCTCTTGCATCGCTGTACCGCTGATTCTGAAACTGAAATCCTCTTGTTGATGGACTTAAGCAACCTCTTATTATAGGTCAAAAGTTTCTTGTCAGGTACTCTTCCCTCCTATTCTTTTTTTGAGAACTCTAATTTTTTATTTGTATCTGTTCTGCCAAATGGGAGCAGCCTATCTTTTCATGTGGGCTATCTTCTTGTTTTGTGAAAGATACGTTTCCCTGTCCAATGAATGTTACAGCTTGCTCCCCAGAATCCACTTCCCCTTTGCCCTTCCTACAACCTCTTGCCCTCCGCAGGTATGACGTCAGATTGACTCAGAAGCCCAGCTGAAGGCAATCAGCACACAGCCCTGCTCTGGCCATAGAGACTCATGTGACTTAGCCATGGGAGGGGAAAGGACCATGTTCTTAGAAGAAAACCACCAGAAATGATGTCCTTTCTCTTCAGACACAGTGATAATCAAGGGCAAAACCTTTGCCACGGCAAAAGAAGCCAGTGTGGGGAGGAAAACAATGGAGACAACGCTACCACATTACTCCATGCCAGAAGCCTTGCCTACATCCAGATGTCCAGTTGTAGAAGCCACTAAATCCCTTCATCAGTCACTTGAATTGGATTCACTGTTATTTATAGTGTAAATCATTGTACCTGCTATGCGCTGTGACATCCTTCACTACTCTAAGAGTTAAACAGCAAGATTTCTAACATCTGTAATTTTTGACCCTTGGTATGCAATCATCACCGGGTTTGAAGAAACTCCTTAAAAATACCCCTCTCATTTTTCCTATAGGAATTCCTTTCCCAATACTTATTAAAAATTTCAAATAATCAGAAACTTTAACAGCTTTTAACTTTTAAAGACAGACTTTTAAACTTTTAACTTTTAAACTAACAGCTAGTTTTGACAATTATGGACATTTTCTATGCATTTGCTTTATCTATTTTATGTATCTACATCTACCTACCTATATTTCACTGACTTATTTGAAACTGAGTTTCAATATTTTTATACTTCAGTTTGCTTTATCTAATTTTATATCTGCATCTATCTGCTTACCTATACTTCATTGAATTATTTGAAAGTGAGTTTCAGTATTTTGACATTTCTTTCTTAAATACTTCAACTTTTGTGTAGCTTTCTAAGAACCATTAGCACACTATGGAAATTTGTATTTCCTTAATATCATCTAATATTATCTCTATCTACATTTTCCTTATCTGTCTCTAAAACTATCTTTTGTAGCTTCCTTTCTTCAGTCCAACTTGCTTTCATAATTACTGTCTCCATTAAAAATAGCATACTTTCAGTTGTAAAACTAATAAACCACTGTGGAAGATTTCCTTCGTCTCCCCTTTCCTGACATAATATTCATCTGAACTGGTTAGATTCTTCATTGTACAGTGGTTCCTTCATTTCCTTCTTGCATCAATTTCTATTCACAACTCAGAAATCAATCCCATGGGGGAAGCACCCCTATTTAAAAATCACACCCCTGAGAGGGAGGGGACAGATCTTCTTCATAGTAGAATTTCAATGACTAGAAAAGGACCATTTGGAAAAATCACAGTAATAACTATGTAGGCAAGAACTAATCCACGGATGCTAAAATTCATGATAGCACTTTAATCAGGTGACCCAAGTTAACTTCACACACAGTAAGATACTGACATTAGGTACCTCTTGATACTACACACTGAGGTAGTAATAACATAACTTCCATAGAATTCCTGCCAAAATTTGTAACCACAGTCTAACCATGGGAAAATATTAAACAAATTCATACTGAAGTACAGTTCTACAAAATAAATGACTCATACTCTTCAAAGTATCAAGACCAGAGAGACTGAGGAACAGTCCCAGACTAGAGGAGATAAAGAGATTTGACAGCCAAACGTAATACGGGTTCCTGGATTAGATCCTGGGCCAGAAGAAAGGACATCAGTGGCACAACTGGTCAAGTCCAGGTAAGATCTGTAAATTAAGCCTGGGCTCAAGCTTGTAAGTCTCCCGCCTCAGCCTTCCAGAGTGCTGGGATCACAGGCTGTGCCACCGTGCCTGGCAGAGCTGGTGATTTTGGTGTAATCAAATCAAAGACTTAAGAAACAGACCCAGGAAAGAAACATCTGCAGCAGAAGATGGGGTCCTGCCGTTTCTTACCCGAGAGCCGCTGTCCTCTGAGGAATACACTCCCATTTCTACTCAGCTTGGATTTGGAGTCTGATCCAGAACGACCCAGGTTAAATATAGATTTCCACTTCTTTGATTTACTGGAAAGCTTTCTCCTAAAAGAGTCAAGTCATAAGAGGTTAATTTAACTTGTTGCTTCTGGGGAACTCTTAAATTGAAAAGGAAGATTCGAATCATATTCTTTGTAACGAGTGGCTCTGATATTTCAGGAAATTCCCCGGTACAATCCAAGGTGATCCAACTCTCCTCTCACCCTGTCTGGGGACTCCAGGTGCCAAAGAGACCGTGAGTCAGAGCCAAGAACCCTTCCCCTGGGGCCAGAACCGAAGCTGTAGGATATAAGGGTGAGGCAAACAGAAGCAGGGTTTAGGGAGAGACTCAAAAGTCACAAGAAATCACAGTTCTGAATTCTGGGAAGAGCTGCAGTCCCAGCTTTTCAAAGATACCTGTTTTTTTTTAGAGAAGTGAACAGTGACGAGCAGAGACCCTAATCCTGCCATGTCCCCCGCACGGTGGCCACACTGCTGGGATGTACACAGGTAAGGTGCAGGCTAGGGAAGACCTTCAGGGACGGAAAAGTGAGGGAAGAGAAAGCAGACCCGAAGGGTCCGGCCTGCTGTGCTGGGGTGGCTCAGTGGTCACTGCAGAGAAATGCAGAGGATGGCCAGTGTGCTTGGGGCTTTGTCTCCCACCAGCTACTTGGGCAGGAGGGGGCAGCACTAGGCTGGGTTGGGAGCACCTGGCACCACCAGGGGTCACCACAGAGGCAAGCATCGGGGCGTCAGGTCCACCCACCAGACTGTGAAAAGCTCTGGGCGGAGCTCTGCAACCTGTGGTCCCACAGAGGGTCTTTGCTCTGAAGGGCTCACAAAGCACATCCAGATTTTAGGTGTAGGGTGTATGCGTGTGTGCGCGTGTGTGTGTACTACTGGGGATTAAACCCAGGACCTTCTCACTGAGCTACATTCCCAGACCTTTTGATTTTTTTCTTTTTCTTTTTTTTTTTTTTTGAGATAGGGTCACACTAAGGTGCTACATTGCCCAGGCTGGACTCAAACTTGTGATTTTTTCGGCCTCAGCCTCCCAGGGTGCTGGGACTGCAGGCACACACCTCTACTGCAGGCTGGTTTAGTTGTCTTTATGATAAGTCGGAAACAGATCTGAGTGCCTGGCTTTCATGTGGACTTGGCTTGTGTTTGTTTTTAAGCACACGGCCTTGGTATGCTTTAAGGGAGCCATAGCTTGGGGTTTGGTGTACCCCAGCTGTGGGCCGAAAGCATACAGAAAATGCACTCAGTACTCCTTCCAAGGAGTCTTCCCAATCCCTGGGAAGGAAGCTTATTCACCACCGAGTTGGGAGCAGTGCTGTGCGCTCAGTTCTAGCAGGTTTGATGCACACAGACATGGAGGGTTGTCCCGAGCCACGCGGGTGTGACACACCTCTAGCGGGCTAGGCGACAGTGCAGGGCAACGGCCTCAGCCTGCGCCCCCGGAGCCAAACAGCCTGCGTCTCCTCTCGGGGAAGACACTGACGTCAGGTACCTGTTTGCACGCGTCTCTTTGCTGACCAACCGGCCAGGCTGACATGCCTGTGAGAGGGCTGCTCAGCGATTAGGACGCCCGCTCCAGTCTACCTCTTCTGGAGAGGGAGCCGGGGAGGGGTGGGCAGAGGCGGGGGTGCAATGAAGACAGGAGGCGGGAGGGAGGGTGAGGACGGAAGGTCTCATGATGCAGAGAAGCTCATTCTGCTTTGGAGGGAGGGATGGCACGAACAGGCAGCGGGGAGGTAGGGAACCGGAGCCGTGTCCCCCAAGTGCTCTCAGTCTCGAGTGGCACTATTTGTCCATTTGCACTCGGTCTTAGATTTATCTCTATGCCTTTTGTAATGGGGGGGCAGGTGTGGAGGTTAAGGTGGACGAAGTCAAGGTTTTATTTGTGCAGATTTCCTTCAGTAAGGAAATCTGTCTAAGAAGTCAGGGATTTAATCACAGCTTGTGATGAGACCCTGTGGCCCCATCCCCAACCTGGGGCTTAGGGTCTACAGTAGGAGATGGAAGGTCTTGTCTTCTGGATTCCCTTGTGTTCCAGGACACTTCTCGACAGTCACTAGATCACTCCCGAGCCCTCATGCCTTGAGCCTCCCCCACTCCACCTCCATCCCGCCACCCACGCGCGCCCGATGTCACAGGAATGCATTTACTTGCTGTCCGGCAACTCGAGGACCGTGTGGAAGAGGGCACCCATGGGGGCCACAATCTCAGGTAAGCTGTTCTCCCTCCTCTCTTTCCGAGCCGGGTGGTTCGTAGCCAGGCTGCGGGCCTGAGCTTCCTCCAGGCTCACCAGCTTCATGGGCAGGGACAGGGCAGGCAGGGTGAGGCTCTTCACGATGGGCTGGTTTTCTGCAAGGGAAAGAGAAGAGCTCTGTCCAGGAGGAGCCTGCCGTGCAGGCCCTGCAGGTTCCCCACACACAACCCCTTGGCTTGGCCTCCTGATGGGGCTGGTGCTGACCTGGGTTTCTCTCAGGCACCTGAGGCTGAGGCTGCACCCACAAAACTGGCAATTTTGCTGAGTGTGAGAGTGCAGGCCTGGAATCCCAGCACTCTGTGAGGCTGAGGCAGGAAGATCACAAGTTTTGGCCCAGCCAGGGCAACTTAGTGACTTAGCAAGACTCTGACTCAAAACAAAAAATAAAAAAGGGCTGAGCATGTAGCTCAGTGTGAAGGCCCTGGGTTCAATTCTAGTACCAAACACACACATGCACACACACTCAGGCACAAAATCCACACTCCCAAAAACATAGGGGCCTCAGGAGGTAACTGTATTTTCAGTACTTTCCAGACAGCACCATCTATCCATCCAATAAATATCTACCGGGCACTTACTGTGATCCAGAGTAATAGCAGTGGGTCTTTACTCCCCCCAAACTCTGCCTAGGACTTTGGCCAGATGGGGATGTCTGTCCAGTCACAGACGTGGCCTACCTCAGCTGGGTAAGGCAGGAGTTGGCCCCTCCTCCCCACAGCTGGAGAACACATGCTCCTAGGCAGTTGGAGCCTGTACTCACCCCAGAACACCTAGGCTTCTATCACTACAGGGCAGCACATCTGACACACTGCACTGTTGCTGGTCATCTTCTAGTGGATGGAGCAAACCTCTCCTACTCTATGGAAGTGATGTAACAATCAATGATAGAAAACTTTCTTTTCTCCATCAATGGTTCTTTTTTCAGTGGGGGGCACATTTTTTGAGACAGGGTCTCACTACATAGTACAGGCTGGCCTTGAACTTGCTATGTAGCCCAGGCAGGTTTTGAACTCACAATCCTTTTACCTTAGCTCCTGAGTGCTGGAATTATAGGCATGTGCTACTGCCCAGCTCATCAGTGGTTCTTAATTTGGGGTGATTTTGCATAGTCCCCCTTTCCCCATTTCAGCAGAGGACATGTGGCACTGTCCGGAGGCATTTTTGGTTGTGGCAAATGTGTACTTGAGCACTACCAGTATGTGGTAGGGAGAAGCCCGGGAACCTATTAAACATCACAGAGCGCACAGAATAGGGCCTCACGGTAAGAATTATCTGGCACTAGATATCAGTCGTGCTGAGGCTGAGAAATTCTGATTTAAGGAAAAAACAGAAAGTCAAAGTTTGCTTCTGTGTCATCTTTGGTGACCTTGCCAGCTACTTGTGACTTCTGAGAGTATGAAGAGACTTGGTAATTTGGACCAACTGAGATTACAAGATCATTTTTGGTCCGGGGACTCTTCTTGTTGTCAAAAAACAGCGCCATGCACCATTTCTTTGCAGACCATGTCCTTCTCCGGATAGAATGAAGTTAAACCACTAAAAAGGGTTTTTTAGACAATGAAGACAGCATGTGACAGTCAGGACTCTCTAGCGGGTAAGCATAACAGTCATTCTGGAGGGCTGTAGTTAAATAATCCTGCGATCCTGAAAATATTTCAGGACAGTTTCTGAACTTAACCCACTTTTCCAACTTAACTTAAAGGATATTACAAATGTTTAAATTTGATTTACTTCCATTAAGATGTGTTATGTTAGCCGGGTGTGGTGGCATATGCCTGTAATCCCAGCACTCGGGAGGCTGAGGCAGGAGAATTGTTGCAAGTTCGAGACCAGCCTGGGCTACAAAGTGAGCTCAAGGCCAGCCTGAACTGCATAGCGAGACCCTGTCTCAAAAAGATCCCCCCCGCCAAAAAAAGATGTGTTATGTACATGTACCAGTTTCCCCTGATGAATGTGTGTCCTGAAAAGTGTACTAATAAAAATTTTTAAAAATAAAAATAATAAGTTTAATTTACTCCTAATATTTGTTCATAGATAGTTTTTTATTTTCGTTGCTTGTTTATTAACCTTAAAAAAGTAAAACACTGTGAGAGCAACTGCGACAAGAGGAAGAAGATAAACTGTGGGGTCAGGAGTCTGAGCATTAGCATATGCATGTGCATAGCTCTAGACTCCAGGAGGAGGCCGGACCTGAGTCTTACCCGTAGTCTCTGCCTAGGAACCTCTAACTTCTCATTTCAAGACAGAGCCTGTGATTTACACACCTTGCCTGTAGAGTGGTACCTACTGCCACCTTCCCCGTGTCAGGAAATGGCACCAAGGACTACCCCGATGCGAGCCAAAACCCGGAGTAGTTCTTTTCAAATTCATCCCCTCCCTCCCTGTAGCCTCCCTCTCAGATGTGGCATTGTTGTGACCAAGCTTGGCAACTGGGCAGTTCAGATGGAGTTGATTGGCCATGGGACCTGCCCTGGAAACTGGTGAAGTGCACTTTGAGGGGTGTCTGGCTGGGTCATGCAGACGTGGCCATGGGGTCTACATCTGGCTCCTTGTCCTTTCTTCTCTGGCAGTCTTCCCTGCTCTGCTTCCCGGGCACCATGAACCAAGCAGCTTTGCTCTGCCACTGCGTTCTGCCATGATGTCCGTCTGTTGGAGCCAGCCAATCATGGACTGAAACGACAGGTAAATTAAACCTTCCTTCCTTTAAGTTGTGGGTGCCGGGTATTGTGTCTCGGAAATGAGAAAGCTGACTAATACAACTCTACCTCAAGATATATCCTGGATCCAGCCACCTTCCCTTCTACTGCTAACACTCTAGTAGAGGCCACCATGACGCCCCACCTGACTCCTACGCTGGCTCCCTAACTTGGTCTCCCTGCTTCCAACCTTGCTGCCTTTTAGGCTCTTGGAAGGCAGCAGCCAGAGCACTCAGGTCCTACACTCGCCACCTCCCAGTCCCCCAGTGCTTGCCCAAGCTTTGCCTCACTTCCCCAGTGCTTTGCTGAGAACAAAGCGGATTCAGCAGACCTGCCAGGATCTTTCCTCTTTTTGGCCTTTCCACTCTGCCCAATGACTCAGGGATCTACAAAATGATAGGTAAAAACTTTTGAATGTGTATTCCCTTTATACGTGCATGCACTTTATAAATGATACACATATACCACTGTATTAGTATTCTGTAGACTAGAAAACTTAGGTAAAATAATAATTATGATATAAAATATACATGATGGTTAATGATATGTCAACTTGACTGGATTAAGAAATGCCCAAGGCATTACAAAGCATGCTTCCGGGTGAGCCTGGGGGGTTATGGCGGTATGACTGTGGTACCACAGATGGTCCCTTGCCCCCTCCTCTCCAGCACTGTCCCACACTCTGCTTCCTGGCCACCATCCACTGAGCAGCTGTGCTCTACCACACCCTTCCGCCATGCTATTCCTGCCTTAGCGCCAGCCAGCCATAGACTGTCCTCTGAAAACATGAGCCGGATTGGATCATTTTGCCTTTAAATTACAGATGTTGGGCATTGTGTCCCAGCAATGAAAAGCTGACCAAAACAATGGAAGAGGAAAAATAAATGAAAAAAATCCTAATAGTTTCTCCTAATACTTCCTAATACCTCAGAACTTTGGTCTTTGGTACCCAGTTAGGTGGAGCACCCCACTTTGGAGACCTACAGTGGCTGTAGCCACACTGGCTCACTTTCTGTAACACTTCAAGCCTGTTTCTACCTCAAAGCTTTTATTCCTTCTCTTTGGGATAGCTGTCCGCCAGATTCTCACATGACTGCTTCCCTGTGTCACGGGGGTCTCCCTTTGAGGAACATTTCTTCTGAAGCTATGACCACAGTGTCCCAAAGTAACACCTCCCCCAAGTCACTGACCATTGCATTATTTTCTTCTCGGTATGTATGGTCTTGGAAGTGAAAATATATTTACTGGTAAAACCTATCACTTTTCTTCCCAACCAGACCGTATCTCTTCGTGAGGCAGGGTCTTTGCCATTGTGTGAACTGATGTGTCCTCAGTGTCTAGGACAATACCTGCATATATGAGATACTCAATATCTACTTACTCTTTTTTTTTAATGTAAAAGACAGTTTAATTAGTTAGCTTATGAACAGGCATCGAGCTAGAGAAAGGGCCTGAGTTGGAGTTGGATGATCATTCACACTGCTCAGAATTAAAATAAGAATAGGCAATAAAAGTAGGACTTGGAATGAGGAAGTCTTCAGGCAACATGGGACATAACCCCTCCCTGCTAAAGGAGTTATAGCTCCTCTCTACTAAACTCCACTTAAAAGTGCAGAGCAATCAGTTTTTCTTTAAAAATCTCAATTTCCTTCAAACTGCATGCTGAGTAAGTAGTTTAGAGAGCCTGAATTCCAGTTGGCCGCTTTAAACCCACACAGCTGCCTGTGATAAGTGGTCACTAAATAAATAGCAATTCTCCTGTTCTCTTTATTCATAAAAAGTTCTGGACCGAGGTACTGGGTGGCCCCCTACTTTCTAGGAGCCTTCCTGGGTGCCCACCAAGAGCTCTTTTTCCTCTTGTGTTCCCAATAAATACTTCCCCTTTACCTTCCTTTCTGTCCACAATTTCATTCTTCAACTTCATGAGACAGAGGACTCGGTTTATGACAGCTGTTCCACAATAGCATCTTTACAGCTGTTCCACAATAGTATCTTTACAGCTTAGTCCTTGTCCTTGGATGCCCAAAGTCCAGATGAACCTTGCATTTCAATCTCTACAATAAATTCTTTCCTCCCCAACTCCCTGCCTCGTGCCAACTGTCAGAACTTGGGCTCAGCATGATGGTTCTAAGCCAGGTAGCACAGAGAAGGGCTCAATCTGACCTCATAGCCAGGTGTGTCTACTACAACTATGCATGCCCAAGGGGCCACAGAGCCCAGCAGGTGGCGTGTGTCATTTGTTATGCCACTGCAAAGGCACAGACGAGGCTCTGTGCTTCCCTTGAGAGAAGTCAGCAAAGGCACAACAGCAAGGCACCAGCTATCTCTCTGATGGAGCTTGGTGCTAGGCAAAGCAACCTACTTACTTTTTTTTAATGAATCTTGAAGACCTCACAGTCTCTCTGGCCTTAGCACTCTCATTTATCAAACGAAGGTGCTGGATTGAATGAGACACCCACACAACTGGAGCCTGTACATAACAAGTCCTTCAGCACTCTAGTTGGCGCTGTTAGAGGAGATGTGTTTATGACATCGTGGGAACTCCCTAATTTCTCTCGGTGATGCTGCGTAGATCGCATTCCGTCAGCAGCTTTGAGAGCCATTAAGTTGGCATTAAAGATGGAGGAGGAAGGGGAACAGAAAAGGAGCTAAAATGCATTCATGGCTCCATGCATACAATATACATGATAATGTGGGGACTTAGAGCCACAAGGACCTAGCTTTGGTGCCCATACTCTCTCAGTTATAGCTAAACTTGATGATAATTGCAATAGATTATATGGACAATTGTATTGGTTTGCCCAACCATATTTAGCTAACTGGAAAAGAATATTTTAATCAGATAACAATTTTTTGTTATCAAAATATCAGATAATATTTTACAGATATAGTTCTCCTACTCCGTGGGAAATGCTTGCCAAGAAAATGCATTCTGGCAGGTAAGAATTCTATCACTGAACCACCAATGCAGAAAATGCATTCTGAATATATGTATGAGAACAAATCCTTTAAGACAAAAAACCAGGCATGGTGGCACATGCCTGTAATCTCAGCACTAGGGAGGCTGAGGCAGGAGGATCACTGCAAGTTTAAAGACAGCATGGGCTACATAGTAGTTCAAAGCCACCCCGAATTGCACAGCAAGACCTTGTCTCAAAAAATAAACAACCCCCCACACTTTCAGGTAAAGTCATAAGAATCCTCTGAAATATTAGAGTGCAAGTAAAGATGAAACCTAATCATTAAGAAGAATGTTGCTAGTCCCTTTAGGTAATAACTAAAAAAACTTTCAGAACTCAATAAATAAAATCACTTCAGTTCTACCGCATCACATCACATTGAGGGATAGCCCATGGATGTAGCTGGTTGGAAACATGCTCTGGCCACATGCAAACACACCATCCCTTTGCTGCACACATGCGAATGCACATAGGCATGATCCCCAGACACTAACGCACTCATGTGTCAGAACCACAACCAACCCCACCCTCACTTTGTCATGGGCCTCATGCTGAGAGCAAGAAAGGACAGGCTGGTGGGGTAGGTGGTGGGGGATGCATTACCATCCTTCTCGAGAGACCCAGGAGTGCTGCTGTTGAAGATCTGATCCACGTGGCTTAGTATGAACTCGATCACCACCTGCTGTACGCGCACGGCGAGGAAGGCAGCATCGCCATTGCAGCCGGCCGCTTCGATGTCTCTGGACCTGGACCATGGAAGAAACACCCTCCCTGGGTGAGTGAGTTTCCTCACAGCGCGAGCAGTAAGGGAGTCAGTGGGCCCCTCTCCTGACTTTAGAGGTTGTTAATTCGTAGAATACTTTAACTAGTTGTGACCAATTAAAGGATCTCTCTCCAAAGGCTGCAAAGCCAGCCCGCCAAATAAACTCCAAGTTACCAGATACTATAATTGTGAGCCTCTACACACCACCCCATCAATGTTCAGGGGCTGACTTTTTTTCTTAGGAGCCCCTTCTCCCACTGTCCCATTGCGGGACAGGTCATCATTTCAGGCAGCAGATTCAAGTAAGGTCAACTGTGACTCCACTAAAGACAAGAAAAGCTAATGCGCCCCAACCCCCACAGGAAAGGCCTTTTTATGCAACTGTAACATACAGATGCATAATGTTAGCCACACTGTGATTATGGCCAGGAAATGGCTTTAGGATTCCAAGTTTCCAAGTTAGCAAACAAGGAGTTCAGGCCCCTAAAGCTACCTTTAATTCACAGGCACCATTAAAGAGCACTCAGCGGCAGGTGTGTGTTCTAGGGAGTCTGGAAGCTCTAGGCTTCGTTTCCATCCCTGCTTGTGCCCGAGGGGTGGTGAACAGGTGACCGTGTGCTCGTTACCTGAGGAGGTTCGGAGCCCACACCAGGGCCAGGTTCCTGGCGTGCATGTTGGTCTTGCTGCTGAAGGAGGCGATATGGGCAAGGTGTCGGATCAGGTATTCCAGGGTCCTGTAAGGATTCATTTCGTTCGTGCATTTTGACAAAGTATGGAACTTCAGTGCCTGTGCGAAGCCTGACATCTGAAGATCATTTCTAATTTTGAGTGTAAGCATCTCTATTTCTGTCTTAGGGACTCTGAAGGAATATTGGGAAGGTACCGAGATTGGTAGAAGTCATTTTCTTGGCCATGGCACACTGGCCCCGGGTGGGGTGGGGGACAAGGATCAGTCTTGTCAGGAGTCAGCTGAGGCCCAGAGAACATCAGCCAGGGCTAGAACCAGGGAGCCCCAGAGCCCAGGGCCTGAGGGTTCCCAGCGGTCCCTTGCTTCTCCTTCTCCGCAAATGGAAGTGCGCCTCTATTTTGAAACAGGCTTTATTTAGGCTTTTGGAAAAATAAAAAGTTCCAGCTATAGGTAAGGAAGCTCGTGTCATGGATGAACGACATTTGTGACTGCTAAGGAGTTCGTTCTTACACCACATCGCAATCTGCCCCTAGCAGAAGTCAGGCAGGGACGGGGCAGTGGGGAGGGGGGGCACTGGAGAAGGCGGTACATGTAGGGGCTCAGCTGTGAGAATGAAATGAGAGGACGCAGATGCTGAAGAGGGGACCCTGAGGAGCAAGCAGAGATCAGCCAGCCAACTGCTGAAGAGCCACAGTCACCCCCTGTTTGAAAGCTACCTGGGTTTCCACAGATTTGGCTGGGCTACAAATCTACGTAAAAACCAAGGACGTCACCAGAGGGCTGGTTTGTTGGCTGGAATGACTTCCGGGGCGATTCTGACGAGCACACTAGCAGCGACTGCACTCAGGCTGCCCTTTGCTGCCCCTGTCCTTCGTGAGGCACCAACTCATTTTAGAAAGAGTGACCTGCTCACTGATTCTGAAATGCCCCCAGGAAAGCTACTGCCTGCCGAGTCTGCTGTTTTAACACATACCTGGCCCCTTGAAGCTATGCTAAGGGGCTGTGCATTTCTTTCCCCAAGGATTCTTACCTATAATGGCAGCGTGGAAGCTTCTGGATGACATTTTGGATTCGGGCCAGTTGGACTTCTTCTGGGCAATGTGACACTGCCTCCTGCAGAGAAGAACATGAGCGACCGAGTGAATACAGGGAGTGTGGACGCCCACCCCCATGTACTGGTCTTCAGACCCTGGTCCTCTAGCCAGCCTCACAAGCACGCCTGGAGACCACCTTTGTAAGGGGCACGCTCTTCTCTGAGAACTACCAACCAGCCAGTGTTTCTGAGGATTCAGATGACAAGTGTCTGGCAGTGCGCACACACGGGCTGCCTGAGTCTGTAGCGTCCTCAGACGGTTGTCACATGTCTGGGAAAGAATATGTAGGATCCTGGGTGTGTCCTGCATGGCAGACAGTCACAGACTCACACTGGGAGGGTGAGATGACACGTCTGCTCCTCCAGCTGTCTTCGTAGATGCCCTCTCCATCCCTCCATCCAGCCTGCGACTGTGCTGTCAGCTCCAGTACTTAGCTGCTGCCTGACTTCATGCCAGGAAGCGGGGAAGACATGCCCCCTCAGCAGGGGTCCGAGCTCCGTCCCGGAGACCAGGCGACCTCGCCTGCCTGCTCTCTGGTTGTTGCATGAGTGTTTTGCTGCCCTGTGCACCTAGAGCCTTCTTTGGGAGGCACTGTGACTGCCCCCTGGCCCATGTCCACCTCTCATCTGCCTGGGGTGCTGCATGGAGGCAGCTGTCTCTGGGAAGAGCCCAGAGATCCCTGCACCCCACTCTGAGACTTTGTCCTGCACTCTTAGACCCCAGGGCCCCTCCAGGGCTGGCGCAACAGCGCTACCAGGTCTAAGGGATGGGAACGGCATCTTTCTGTTTTAACTGAGAGATAATATTGGGGTTACCGGTGCGTGCCACAACACCAGGCATAGGCTTGATCAATCTTTATGGTCTTTAATCCGCAGGCGTGTCACTGACAATCTTGTATTTCCTGCTGCAAACTTGTACATAACGCCAGGTGTCACTATAAACTATGGTCATTAATTTGATAAATATTACTCCCTGCAATACAACCAAAACTGAGGTCCTAACTCACAGTTTCTCAATAGCGTTTATCTCTATTCAAGTCTTTAGCTGACACTTGCTGGACTGGGTTTAAATACTGAACGTCATACTCTTAGTCCTGAGAGTTTTTAGACACTTATTTTTCACTAACGGTGGAAGGCAAGCAACCCGACTGGGCACCTTCTCTTTGCAGGCCCTCTTCCAAGCCACACTGCTGTTTTGATTCACAGGAAAACTCCGAGGTCCTGCCCCAGCCCGGCCCTGCCCTTCCTGCCCGCCCAGCCCCAGCGGAGGGCACCACCGTGTATGCCAGTATATGAGACGGGCAGAGCCGCTCGCTGTGGGCAGCCTCCTTGTGAGAATGTCAGGTCTTGCTCCCTGCGTGGGGTGCTGTACCAGGGATTTGTTTGCCAAGTGTTTTCTTGTTTGCCTTTTTTATTCAATTAAAGTGAAATAGGTACACAGAAGCCCATCATTTTTAAAGGGCAATCAAAACTCTCCACGTGGAAAACTTGAGGTCTCCTTCCCAAAACAGACTCGGGGAGACAGGTAGGACCGGCAGGGTTACAGTCACAGATGTCCCAGCCTTTGGGTGGGTTTGCAAGCCAGTCCCCAGACACAGCCTGGGCATGATCTCTGCTGTCATCCTGCTTTGTGAGGTAAGGAGGATGGCGGAGTAGAGGCAACAGTGGGGCCCCTGGGGCCTGGCACCGTGGCCCACTCCTGTAATCCTAGCTTCCTGGGAGGCCAAGGCGGGAGGACTGCAAATTTGAGATCCTGCCTCAAAATAAAAAAGCTCAGTGTACAGGACCACTGGGTGATCCTCGGTACAGAGAGTATGTTGCGGGGCTGGTCAGAAAGCACCCTGACACCTTCCTCTTTCCCCTTTTGCTGTTATCTAGAAAACAGGTTCAGGAGAGGACCCTGGGTCCACAAGGCAGGAAAGACTTCTCTAGGGGGTTCTGCTTGAAGGGAAGGGCTGCGGAATGTGGGGCGTGGCCGCCACTTCCGTGGTGCTCTGGGGCGGGCTGGGGAGCCCTAGTCTATCTCTGCACTGCCAGGATGGGGCTCTCCAAAGCTTTACATCTCCCCACTCCTTAAAACAAAATCTGATAGGGAATGAAGGTTTCTCCCCCATAGAAAGTTTCTGGAATATTTAGGAAGCTGTTAGTCATCGGGGGCAAGACCCCTGCAGGCTTGCAGTCCCAGTTGGGATTGGCGTTCATTTCGTTATTCACAGCCGCTCCCTGCCCCACCCCAATCCTATCTGGAAACTCTCTAGATCCTCATGTTTCTCCTGGATGGATCTGGTCACTGCAGACTTCTGTTTCAGACCTTGTGTTCCCCCAGTAGAATGGCAGAATCCATCACGGGGCGACTGGGAGAGGGAAGTTGAAACTATGCCCACCCTATGGCAGAGAATTTCACTCAACATTAGCCAGGCCAATCTGACTGATGGTTAAATCTGAAAATACAGTTATCTGGGATGAATTCTCTTCCCATCTGCATCAGCAAAACCCACTTTCTCCATTTGAGTATTCTGGTGACGGCCAGGCTCCCGGATCTGGTAGGGCCCTTATTCTGGACTTCTGTTTCCCCAAAGTCACCACTGCCCGTGGCTCAAGTCCTGCAGCCTGCACAGCCTTGTCGCTGGAGTGGCCCAACACGAACAGCCTACAGCTGTCCTTCCCAACTGCACCCTTGCTGCACTGTGAGTTTTATTAATTACAGTATTAAAAGTTATAAAACCACTTTTATTTTAAATTAAACCACTAACCAGATTTTCAGAAAAGTAATACATATATGATTTTTAAAGAAAAAATTAGGCTTAGTGGCACATGTCTGTAATTCTAGCACTTGAGAGGCTCAGGCAGAAGAATCATGAGTTTAAGACCAGCCTGGACAATGTGAATTCTAGGCCAGCTGGGCTATACGGCAAGACCCTGTTTCAAAGGGGGAAAAAAAAGCAGGTAAAAATATCTGCAGAGGAAAGTTCCTTCTAGCTGTAGATCCCCAGTCTCCAAGGGCAACCACTGTTCATCCTTGCAATTTTTACCCAAGTGTCCTTGGTAGACTGTGGGAACAAGTACTGCTGGAAGATCTGGCCGTCCGTGAATTCCTCTACTCCCTATTTCTTCTGCTTTGTGTGCTGGCCATACTGGCTTCCTCAAGCTCCCCCCTACTTTGCATGTCCCTGTGAGAAACTGCCGCCCTGTTTCTTCTATCAAAGGATATAAACTAGAGTGCCTCTTAGACGCTAGTCTACTCTCGGCTGCCCCCTCACACCTTACCAAAGGCAGCTTATTAATAGCCAAGGACTTTCTCTTCCCTATGCCCTCTCCCCTCCCATTCCTCCTTCCCCTCAGTAACCCTTTGGCTCTTGCTCTCCTGCCCCTGAAACTAGCCAACCTAGATAGATTGTGAGCCTTTAAATTCAGCCAGTGAACTGACTCGATAGCTGCCTCTCATGTATCAGGCCTTAAATACCCCACCTCCCCACTGCCCCGGGCACCTACTACCTCCTTGCTGGGGGTGCTTCTGCCCTTTTGCAAAACTAAAAGCCTTGTTGCAATTTCTTGGTATCTGAATGTTTTATTATCTGCATCAACGAATTGATTCTCATTTTCAACATCCCCCACCAGGGTCTTTTTCCCTCTGCTTCTTCTTGGTACCCTCTTCCCCCAGATATCTGTTTTGTTTTTCTTCTGGTACCAACAATCGAACTCACAACCTTGCGCTTGCCAGGCAGGCGCTTTGCCACTGAGCTAAATCCCCAGCCCCTCCCCCAGATATCTGTATAAGCTGTCTCTTCCTTTCATTCTTGTCTCTGTTCAAATGTCAGAGACCCCAGAGACCTCTGATTATTCTACCTAAAAAACCTCACCATTCTCTCCCCAACATTGTTATTTTTCTTTACAGTTTTTAACAGTTCTCATTATAGACCTGCACCTTACATGTGTTTATTATCCCTCTCCTCCATAAAATGGAAGCTTCCCTAAAGCAAGGATTGTACCTGTCTTCCTTACCATGAAATCTCCAGCCCCTAGAAGTTTGCCACCAGGTGTACATAGTAGGTGCCCAATACACATTTGCTGAATGCAAGTATTTCACTTTGTGCTTGAAAATGTCAGCCAGCCACATATGGGTCACAGTTCCAGAACAGGATGTAGGACTGTGATGCAGCCCTTGCTAAGCCCTTCCAGTTTGGGTTCCTGGCTGGATGACCTATCACCTTGGTTTGCCCATCACTGGAGTCCCAGTGTTAAAGGAAGGAGACAAATCAAGGCAGTTGGCTACTGCCCACTCCTTGCGGCCACCTTGATCTCACAGCCCATCTGCCTTTGCCTGTAGCCAGTACTAGTTTTTTGTTTTGTTTTGTTTTTGCCTCAAGAGACACTTCACAAGGCATTGCAGGATCAACCCATTTGTCAGAAAAGTAACAATTTACTAAGTAACACCTAAAACACTTCCTGGCAGCCCAAGAACAGGGAAAAGAAATATAAAAATGAGTAGAAGAAGCACAAATCCTGTCTTCAGAAAGCTTCTACCTTAATAAAGGAGTTGGATATATAAATAAATGATTTCAATATATAATTAAACTGCTCTCCCTAAAAACTCAAAATCAACAACCTTCTCCTTCTTTGGATGTAATACTATTATCTGGATTAATCTGAACAAAATTAATTTCCTAAAATGAATGTTGCTTTTTCTGATAAAAGTAGAGTATAACATAGTAGGCTGAAGAACTGCTCCCAAAGATAGCAGATACTAATCTATGAAATATGTAAATGATGTCTTATTTGGAGAGGTATTTTCATGTGTGATTAAGTTAACTTAGAACATAAACTTGAGTACAGCAGACCCTCCCTTACTTTTCTACTATAAATTTGTACTTTAGCATTATAGTAGCCAGCTGTGCATCTCAGTACCTTTTTCTTGGGGATATAGGAAGCAACGTAGGTGTTTACCCACCTGGTATGATGAACACCAAGGAATGTGCATGTGGCAAAAGTGGCAAAAGAGGATTTGGACCCATTATTATGC